CTTGGCACGCACGGCGTGCTCGTTCCCTTCCTTCGTCTTTGGCCTTCTGCCAGGCACGCACAACGTGCCTAGTTTATTCTTCATCTTTTTCTTCCGTTTCTCGCTCTGAATACTCCGGTTTGCTCCATTGATCGATCCTAAAGCTCTTTTGTCATCAAATCTTCATCGTAAACCTCCCGGTGACCTCCAAAGCTCTCAGGTCACTTTCAAATGCGTCTCTACTCGTCCCGATTGCTTCTCAAGCGCCAGTGTCGGGCTTAAATTCCCTGATTTTGACTTCAAAAATACCAAACACGAATCAACGCCTGGTAAAACATGACTTGAGCTAAAAATGAGACTTATGATACTCTTAAGCTAGGAAAACCATCAAAAGTTGATCTCAGCACGCATCAAATGCGTGTCGAAATACGAACTTATCATAGAGTAAATACCTCAGGTCTTGCGGGGCCGGGGTGTTACAACGTCTCTCTAGAGAGCTCCGGAATATTCTAGAACATTAAATATTTCTCTACGCACATTTAGAGAATTCTAGACATCTCCGCCATATTCTAGAATTCTCATTAACTTCTCAATTAAGGAGGGAACCCAACAAATTCATATTCTTATTTCTATCGAACCTATTGTTGACAGTTCTAGAGCTCATTCTTTCTAACAGGATCTTGTTTTCAACAAGTTCTTTTCTCCCCCATGAATAAAATCCGGTTTTTTATGATCCAAATGACTTTGTCATCTCTCAAGTCACCTAGCACCCTCAATTTGTACATATGAATGTTAAAAGCTCTCATTTTTCTGGTTGGTTAACAACACTTTATGAAAGACATCACTATTTGATTAGAAGGCAACTTTGGAGTGCTCTGGTTGATATTTCTAAGGCTATGACTCACTCATGGATTATTGGAGGTGATTTCAATGCTATTGCTAAGCATAGTGAACATTGGGGAAGCGATATTCCTAACCTTAGAAGTATTATGGATTTTCCAGACTGTATTGGTACTTGTGATTTTATTGGGGCTTATGGCTAAAATATTACTAAAAAAAGAGACGTGAACAAAGAAGTGACCTTTTTTTATGTTCCAAAAATATGACTAAAAAATAGTAAATGGACTACTGTTACACCCTTATGTTCCAAGCCCAATTGACCCGCTACAGTAACCCGCTACAATGACCAATGTCAACTATTGTCCCAATGACCAGTGATATTTATGCCCAGTGACAGTGACATGTATGCCTAGTGACACTTACTCCGGTCACAACGACCAACTCGTTGTCGGCCATAGTTACTTGCCAATTGACATTACCGGCCACAGGGACCTTGTCGGCCATAGTGACTACCGCTAGCCACTACCGCCCACCACAGTGACATGACCACCGTCGTTTAGGTAGTGACCAGCCATTCGGCCAATGACCAACACCATCGCTGGTCATAGTGACCAACGCTGCCACCAGACACAGTGACCAACACCGTGCCGGTCAAGTGACCAACGCCCACAGTGACTTGCTAGCGGCTCAGGTGTGGATGTAGGTGACGACGGAGGCGACGAGCGGCTGAAATATGAGATGAAGGAGGCGGCGACTCGGCGAGCGGCTCAGGTCGAAGGAGCGGATTTTGGCGTGAGAGATTGTTGTCCGCTTGATTTATGTTTGCGTGAGACTATAGAGACGGTGAGAGGTGATGGATGAAATGGGTAAGGGGCATTTCAGGATTTTCATACTCACGTAGGTCAGCTTTTAGTCCATTTAAAAACCCACTCCTATTTCTATCCACAACATTATGAGGAGTATTATTTATGCCTTTCTTTCATTTTATTGATCTTTCTTACTCTGGAACTATATTTTCCTTGATAGGTTTAAGATCAAATGGTAGACTTTGAAGGCGTTTGGATAGAGTTTTGGTGAATTCAAAGATCATTGACTCTTTTGATAATATTCAGATTTCTATGCTTCATAAATCCCCTTCAGATCATAGTCCCACTTTATCACAATGTGATAATACCTCTAATAATGTCATCTGACTCATCTCTTGAATTCCTTTTGTTTTTCCACATCAGTTATTTGCTATTTCCCTATCTTGCTAAATAGAGTCTTCATTACAAAAAAATCATATCATTTACTATATAATGCCATTTACTATATAATGCTATTTCCACATAAGTTATAATGCCATTTTCAAAAAATGGAAAACTCGTACAGAGCAATTGTAATAAAATGTACGGAGTAATATTTTTATATTCTTAAAATTGTATTATTTTATTAAAAGGGGCAAATAAGCCCACTTACGAATCAAAAAAGGTCATATAAACCCTTATATAAGAGGCTATGTCCGGCCGTCGTCATTTGAGACGGTTCCCGGTGAAAATTTTTGATGCAATTTTTCGAGCATATTATTCATCAAGTCTAGTTTACTTATACCAAATTTCAGCAAAAACGTTAATTGGGAAGGCATTCAAATGAATTCTTGAAGATAACTGCGCAGTTAAAAGCGCCGTCATCTTCAAGAATTTATTTGAATGTCTTCCCAATTGAATTGTTAGCTGAAATTTGGTATGAGTAAACTAGACTTAATGAATAAGATTCTCAAAAAAAAAATCATCAAAAAATTCCACCGGGAACTGACCCAAATGACGACGGCCAGACAAAGAGCTTATTTGACTTTTTTGGTTAGTATGTGGGCTTATTTGCCCCTTTTCCCTTTTATTTTTAAAAGATTTCATTAAATAGAAGTAAAAAGTATGAATTTCAAAATAAGATTACTATGTTTTTATTTCTTAAATATCAGTAATTACTGTCAGATTGAAAAATATTTCCACTTATGATACTCCCTCCGTCCCATATTTAACTCCGGTTTTGACCGGGCACAGGTTTTAAGATAGTGTGATTTGTGTGGTGGAGAGTTATGCAGAGGAGAGAGAAATGTGTAAGAATGGTTGTGAACCACATATTCTTTACCAAAAAGGGAAAAAGGAGATAAATTTGGGACGGACTGAAAAGGAAAGAATGAAGATAATTTCGGGACGGGGGGGAGTAGTATATAAGTGATATTATTTTTCAAACATGACAATGATTGACTGTAATTTGCTGGTCTGGTCTGATCTGGTCTGGTCTGGTCTGAACTGGTCTGGTCTGGTCTGATTTCTTTGTATTTTTATAACTATCCAAGTCTGGTCTAGTCTGGTCTGGTCTGGTCTGGTCTGGTCTGATCTGGTCTGGTCTTGTCTGCTCTGGGATGAATTACAGTCCAAGTTAAAACATACTTAGAGAATAAAAATATGAGGCTCTGTTTACTAACAGAGATATTTTCTGTTTTCCAGAAAACTGGAAAAGTAGAAAACAGGAAACGTGTTTACCAAAGAAAATTGCTGGAAAACTCGAGAAAGGAAAACAGAACAACTCGTTTACCAAACCGTTTTCCAAAACGAAAAAATGAGAGATGTCTCTCTTTTCCTTGATGATTTGGAGAAGTGACTTTTAATAGTTTTCCAAATTTGGAAAAGGCAGATGCTACAGGCCGCTGCAATGAATTTGCATAATTACACCTAGTGGTGGGTCCGGTCCCGCTCCGATATCGATTCCATTCTAGTACCTCCATTCTCGTACCTTACCCCTTACCCCTACCCTACCCACCCAACCCCATACCCCGATATGTATAGTGTTATTTTGAACATTTTAATGTTAAAAGGTGTTTTAAACCTTTTGAAGTAAACATGATCTTATAACATTGCTTATTTTATGTGTCGCTTATTAGCGCGAGTCTTAATAACCACCATTTAGTAACCCGTGAAGTAAACGTGTCAGTCTTCTGAATGATCACAAAACTAGGTGATAAAATTGATGAACATTTTTTCAGATTTGAAAATAAAATGGAAAACTAGAGAATAGAAACAGAAAATTGGAGATAGAAAAACTGAAAAATAGAAATAGAAAATTGGAAAATGAAAAACAGAAGTAGAAAATAGGAAAATATCTCTGTTAGTAAACAGACCCTAAAACTTTTATTTTAGAATTCCAAAAGGTTTTTGCTTGTATGTCAGGAATTCTTTTGTATTTTTAAAGTTAAATTACACGTTAGCCGAATGTTTTTCACGGCAATTTACACGTTTACCCTAAAACGCCGTTTCATTAATAAAAAAAAGATTATATCGTGAGAGCGAATAGCTACCGCGGAAGAAGAAGAGTGACTGCGGCCGAGAAAGAAGAAGAACCGTGACTGCGTGAGATCTGGCTTGGCTAGCTCCTCATCATTCACTGATTAGAAAGCTACGGCTGAGAAACTATGCTCTCCCATCCCTTCTGACTTTAGGTTTAGCAGCAGCTTCTCCTATGCTCCACTATTGGAGAATTGATGATTGGTTGATTGTTTAATTTTTTTGAAAATTTTGTTTGATGATTGTTTATTTATCTTGAAAAAATTATTAAAGAGATAAGCAAGCATGAAATAATTCTGAAGATCTCGAAACTCTCATAGAAAAAAATCAAAACTGAGATTGGAATTGGGATTGGGTTTCAAGAGGGGTAGCCATCCATGTAAATTCTTTTGTATTTACATCTTTTATATCAAAAGTTACATTTTTATTAAAATGATTTACATTTCAATTTATCTCAAGTTACATATCTAGTAGCGTGAGATACATGTCAACTTTCTTCAGCAAGTTACATCCTGTTTACATGTGATTTACATTTTTCATAATGCGAGTTACATCACAATATAATGCGAGTTACACAACTCAGTGAGCCTCTGCAACTCAAAGAAAAATTAATTTTATAAAAAATCATTTTTATAGACGTGATATATTAGAAACAAAACATATACACTTTTTTGTAAAATAATTGGGCAAAATAAGACCCATTTTTCATTATTTACATTGAAATCAATATTTTTATTTCTTAAACTATGTATTTGACAAGTTACATTTCGATTGAACTTGAGTTACATAAATCAATAACGTGAGTTACATATCTTTACACGCGAGTTACATCATTCATGCTATTGGGACAAAAGGAAAAAAATAGGACGCGTGTACTGTTAACGCGATTTTTTTTAAAAAATTTGGATAAAACTGCGTCATTTTGGAAGTGGAGCACCATGTTCACCGTGGGATGATCCAATGCCTAAATGTTCTAAATGTGGCACTGCTATTCTATTGAGCTGTATGAAATCATATTTATAAATTTTATAAATAAGTCCGATACTTGATCAAATTAGGAATAGAATATCTCAATATGTATCGGATACACAGGTGAGCAGCAAGACACCAACGAAATCAGTCGGAGGGAGAAAGAGCGGTGCTCGCCGCTCATCTATGGAGACTGCCGTTTTTGGTCGAATTCCCCTCTCTCCTAATCATATCTCTCACATTAAACCTGGTACTCTATCCTTATCTCTCTCTCTCTCTCTCACGACCATAGCAAGGTCGATTTTTTGTTTGTTTCTGACTATAATTTTGTGGTTATCTTCAAATTGTGAACATCTTCGATGATTTCGATTTTACTATTTTGGGAGACTGCAACTAAAGTTCAATTTTAGTGTCTTTTTTACCAGCAAGCTTGATCAAATGTTGTTATATACAAGTCCCAGTATAGTCTGTCATTTTTGGGCCATACAGCTTACACCACACGTAACCGGTGTCATTTTTGTAATTTCAAGTGAAAATTGAGAATTCTGTTAATTGAGCATGAATGCACTTTTACTTAGAGCCCGTTTCGTAACCCCGAAATCGACTGAAGTGACTGTATTGATCGAGTCTGCCGATTTATGAAAAAAAATATTTAAAATATATATTATTAATAAAATAAATAAAAAATCATATGAAAAAGTAGCTAAAATGATATAAAAAATCTACGGTAACTTAAGTCAATACAACAAGAAAAGTAACTTCAACCTTACTTCTTCTTATTATTACACAATTCAACTCACGAAATTAAAGATTACTTGTTTGGTTAAAAAGTTTGCTGATAAGCCTGATAAATCGAAAATAGAGTCACCAAACAGGCTCTTAGTCCATTGAGTATTAAGAGTGTAATAATGAGCATTGTGATCTCTTCTTCATATCTTTTAATTCACTTTCTTTTTCTTTAGAGAGGGAGGGGGAAAAGGTTTTTATTTAACATCAAAGTTCAGAAAAAATTCAAAAATACCCGATTGTACCATTCCCAAGGTACAGTCGGTTGTATAATATTGATGTCTTTAACGACCTAGGGGTAGGCAAAACCGAGGGAGAGTCGAAGAATAATCAAAGTATGGACTAAGTAGGGAATTTGGCCGAGTAACAATAAGCTAGAAAATCAAAATTGCGATCTCTTTCCACAAATCGGAAGGTGATATTTATAGTGTACAAGGAAATACTTGGTGAACAAGTAAAAGTAATCGATCCTTTAATTTATTGACACATGTAAAACTAATTGGAGAGATAATATCTGATTGATTGGTACTATTGTACGGGCTTTTGTCTGTGTACCGGAATGGCCGGATAAGTCACATATGTAAACTTGGCAGCTGACGTGTGTAATCCAGTAACCGAATTATGTGACATCAGCCTTGTGACAACTGTCTTATGATGATACAACCTTGAATGTTGTGTAATCTTGGTACTGAAACGTTTAAGCCAACAATCTTCATTTGAGGTCCTGAACTCCGTCTCATGTATCAAGCTCGGGCTAAGTGTTTTGGCTATAAGGTGGGGAACCTCGGCTCATAATGTGAAATGAGATTGTCCTTGTTGATCTCGAGCTCTTAATGCGAGAAGGAGCCTGAGGCTCGACAAGGGTCGAACTCGGTTGCGGGTTTGGACTTATCTCGATGATCCAAGAGTCAGTCTTGAGCTCTACCTCAGCGGGCGCGGGCTCGGGCTCAGCCTCGACCGGAATCGCCTTAGTGGATTCTGAAGAGTTCTTATCATAAATGTTGATACCCATGTGGTATATGATAATATACTCCATAAAATACAATTTGCCCCAATTCCAAATCTTCGCCTTAATCGGTTGTATAATATTGATGTCTTTGACGACCTAGGGGTAGGCAAAACCGAGGGAGAGTCGAAGAATAATCAAAGTATGAACTAAGTAGGGAATTTGGCCGAGTAACAGTAAGCTAGAAAATCAAAATTGCGATCTCTTTCCACAAACCAGAAGGTGATATTTATAGTGTACAAGAAAATACTCGGTGAACAAGTAAAAGTAATCGATCCTTTAATTTATTGACACATGTAAAACTAATTGGAGAGATAATATCTGATTGATTGGTACTATTGTACGGGCTTTTATCTTTGTGTACTGGAATGGCTGGATAAGTCACATATGTAAACTTGGCAGCTGACGTGTGTAATCCAGTAACCGAATTATGTGACATATGTAAACTTGGCAGCTGACGTGTGTAATCTAGTAACCGAGTTATGTGACATCAGCCTTGTGACAACTCTCTTATGATGATACAACCTTGAATGTTGTGTAATCTTGGTACTGAAACGTTTAAGCCAACAATCTTCATTTGAGGTCCTGAACTCCGTCTCATGTATCAAGCTCGGGCTAAGTGTTTTGGCTATAAGGTGGGGAACCTCGGCTCATAATGTGAAATGAGATTGTCCTTGAGCTCTACCTCAACGGGCTCGGGCTCAGTCTCGACCAGAATCGCCTTAGTGGATTCCGAAGAGTTCTTATCATAAATGTTGATACCCATGTGGTATATGATAATACTCCATGAAATATAATTTGCCCCAATTCCAAATCTTCCCTCAAAAACATGATTCATTATAATTTCAGGATAGAGGTGCAAGTAGGAGGATTGTTTTCTTCGTTGATGCACTGAAATGGCTAAACCAGAAATATGTAATAATCAAAATAAGTAATATGATAGATTATTAACCCTTTAGAGAGAAGTGAGAGCTAGAGAGAGAAGTGCAATGAATGCTGTAATAAATATATTGTGATCCCTCTACAACTACCCCCAGGGGGAGTATTTATAGAGAAAATGTGGGCTGGGCTCCCAAGTCTTGGGCTTGGGAGGCCCGATTACCATGAGGCCTCTATTAGGCCGAATACAAAGTATGTAAATTGAGCAAGTATGAAATCCGGCTCTGTGAGCTCTTTGTGGCCGACGGAGACCCGACCGACGGAGACACCCCGATTCTCCTGACTCCCGGATCATATTCTGAGTTGATGTCTTTTCGACCGATAGGGGGCCATCTGGCCGACGGAGGATCCGCTGGGTGACAGCTGTGCTTCTTATTCTTCTGAGTATGTGGGTCATGGGGTCTGGACCCATATACTCCATCATAATCTTTTCTGACTGAGTGAGCTGAAATGAGTGGAGATGACCATTTTAGCTATATTCATATAATACTTTCTTTATATTATTAATAATGTACATTTTTTTCACAATTCATCAATTGCAATAAATTTAAACATTCAGCCGATCCAGCTAATTTGAGACTTACCAAACAGACTCATAATCATTCATGGATTGTGTAGCACAATGAGCTTGAGGTGCAGCTAATGTTCCGATTGAAGTTCGTGAGCGCGTTCGGTAACACTAAAGTTGATTGAATTAGCGGAATCGGCTGAAATTGGTGAAATTTTGGCGATGCGGTTGAATTTGCTGCTTAATTCTGAAAAATTATATTTAATATACGTAGTACTCCCTCCATCCCGTTGGAAGGTTCACGTGAGTAAATGACATGATTTTTTAGGCAAGTGGTTAAATAAAGTAATTTGGGTAAAAAAAAGAGGGAAGAGATTAGAAAAAGTAAACATATAAAGTAAAGTAGTTAAATGGAGATAAGTTAGGGGGGAATTGTGAGACTTCACATGTAATGAGTAGGAAAGAGAAATTTGAGTAAATGTGTAATTAAAGAGAGTAAATTATTTCCTAAAATAGAATGAGAACCTTTAAATGGAACACCCAAATAAGGAAAGTGAAAAGCTTTCAAAGGGACGGAGGAAGTTTATTTTATTGAAAAAGTAAAGAAAATTATGAAAAATATCTAAAATAGTACGGAGTATGTTTTAGCAAATTCAACAAATTCAGTTAGAAAAGTAACTTCAATCTTATTTTTTTTATTATTATACAGTTTAGCATGCAGAATTAAAAACTATGTGTTTAGTAAAAAATTGGCCGATATGCCCAGAACAAGGGTTACCAAACGATTTTTTGGTGTTACTCACTTACTCAAGTAAAATTTTGGATAAACTTGTGTTAGAAAAGCAGAATTGGACAATTGGTAGCCGAAAAATATAAAATCACGCGAGAAGGTAATATGTTTTCGTATGCAGTGGAGTTGAATAAATTACCCCCAAAGGACAACTTTGGTAAAAGAAGTCTGCAACTAAATGGCCTGATTAAAAAAACAAACGTATTAGCTTTTCTCTAACTTTTCTCCAGCTCCAGTGCTTCAACCTTTTTTTTTGAAATGTACGGAGATCTTACCTTTACCCCTGGGAGTGAGGAAGTTGTTTCCATGAAGACCCTTGTAAAAAGTTCCAAAAAATAAGCATCTTTGAAATTTTATGAGAAGATTTTAGTAAAACCTTGAAGTACAAAAGTTTCAAATTTTGAGGGACACAACAAACTAAGATGAAATAGTGTAAAAAGCAAGGAAGAGTTTGATTCAATTAAAATTGAATACAAAAATTTCAAATTCGCAGCTAAAAGCAAGGAAATCACCATTCTCGAAATTAAAAAATCCAAGCTCCGCATGCTTAGCTTCGACGCCGTTTTTGCCCCCCATATTATCCATTTTATCTGAAGTTTTCTGAATATTATTTCCTTGAATTCATTTACAAGAAGTACATAAGCTATTCATACAGATAGGAATCCTGAGAGAGGCTATTCAGCACCCTAGGTGACTGTCTAAATACTAAACATAAATGATTGAGAACTGAAAAGACAACAGCTATTAAATACAACCTGAAGCACTAAAGACACATAATTACAGTAATAATAAGGAAAATAAATCCTAGATTAATGATGTCTCTTCGTTTTATCAACATTCCCCCTCAAGCTAGGTTTGTAGATATCCGTCATGCCTAGCTTGACAATAAGACCCTGGAACCTAGGACTGTGCAGAGGTTTGGTAAACACATCTGCAACTTGATCTTCTGAGGGAGTGTAGCTTAGTTCGATCAGACCTCCTTCAACCTTTTCTTTGATAAAGTGCCTATCAATCTCAATATGCTTGGTCCGATCATGTTGGACTGGATTATGAGCTATGTTGATTGCTGATTTGTTATCACACCTCAATTCCATTGGTCCTTTCCACTTGATTCGTAAATCTAAGAGAATAATTCTGATCCATAGAAGTTCACATAAGCCATGGGCAAGAGCTCTTAGCTCAGATTCAGCAGATGATCGTGCCACAACATTCTGTTTTTTG